AAATACAAGAAAGGGACTGATGCCAGAGGGTACTAACTCTAGGGGTCCGTTAAAGGTACCAAAGTTAGCTGGATAAATTGTCCACCAGATAAATGGAACTTTTTCGCCTGTAAATCAGCCCTTTTTTTAACTAGATCAAGAACCCACGCTGAAACGAAACATCTGGAGCGAGAGTGAAAAGGCGATTTGCCACGCTCAGTATGAGCGTGTGAGGCCCACGCGTGTGCGAAAATTACACAAGGACATAAAAAAGGACCGGCTGTTTTACAGTCTCGGAACTTCTGGTACACGCTCATCGCACATTCCAGCTTCAAAGCAAGTGAATTTTTAAACATCAGGTTTGCGTTTTAACTGAGAGAAAACATTTAGAAAATAATATGCACTTTGCATGTTTATCCATTTCTGACCAAATAAATGTTGTGTTTTCCAATACACCGGTCCAGCCTGGACCAAAAATATTTAACACAGCACGTTCAAACTTCTACGTTGTTAATGTGGACAGGGCTTAAGATAAACGTCCACGCCAGAGGGCGGAGAGCATTGCGTGACTCTAGCCCGAGCGGCTGCGAAGGACACTAAAACCAAGAGAGAATGAGCTAAAACCAAGAGAGGATAATGACTCCGATCAAGTCTCTAGCCATGATAAAGCGATCGTTGGAGAAAGCGTTCATGTGTTGATCACATTTCGTGATCATGATTCATTCCCAATGGTGTCCCTTGCTGTTCACATGTTTGCTATGGCACAAGCCAGCCATTTATTTTAGGGTTAGGAAGTGGGGGTTGGGAGGGGGGGAGGGGGTTAGCAAAAATCATGCACGAGAAAAAAAGGAGAAAAAGTGGTACACAAGGAAGCATGGGAAAACTTTTATGCAAGCCTCACCTATTTCTGGGATTTATATAACGGGAATGTTAGAAAGGAAATGCTCATTTTTTTCAGAATCCCATTCGAAAAAAAGGTGTTGAATAGACATAATTTCGTCCTCCAGGCCGGTATGAAATAATATTGCTCACATTGCCGAAACTCCGTAAATCTGCAGTGAAAAGATTTCCAGGTTAAGCCCTGGATCAACTCAATTTGTTTTGGCAATGAGTCTAAGCAATGCCTGTTCTTTAAAGTGTCCAGGAGCGCAACTAACTTCTATTTTTTGATAAATCGCAAAATTGCCAGCTTTTTTCGTACGGTATCAGCCCTGTCTTTTATACACTTTTTCGGTAGACCAGTGTTCGTATGACAAAAGTTTAGCCCTGTCTTCTAAGCGCTTCGTATCCGTAGTTTTTGTTGTAGTGGTAATTGTCAATGTGCAGTTTAGTTTCGCCGTCTTACCAGCCATTTTGGTTTCGTGCATTTATTAGTTTTTAGTTTTTTCCTCCTCTGTTTTTCTTTCCAACCTTCATTTCGAAAGGTCGCGGCCAATTTTCACCGTTAATTTTTACCGTCATTTAGCCATTTTTCGATTGCTGGGTAATTTGCCCCCTTTTCTCCCGATTTTCCACCCTTTTAGAACTCCCATCACACGCCCTTTCCTCTCCCATCTCCCAAACCTCTCCCAGTGGTCCCACCCCTTATTCTCCCAAGCTCCAGGTCCCTGTCCACCTCTACTACATTTTTCGTTCATTTTGGCCCCGCTTGAACCTTAAATTCCTTCTTATTCCGTTATTGCTCAGAAGTTTTATTTTAAAGTCCTCTTAACGTTCCTTTACGTTCGTTAAATATCATTATTAAGCGACTATGTAACTGGCTCTTGTCCAGGCAAAAATGCACTTGACCGGAATATCTTAATCACGCCTAACCGGTTAGTTATTTCCACCTCTGTTTCAACAAAGATTTGAATCGAGCACAGAGAAAGCCAGTTGTTCCATTGTTAATGTTAAGTAACAGAGGCTTGCCTAATTACAACTTGTGGGAAGTTACAGATTTTGAATGAATCTGGAACCAGTTTTAAATTAATAACCCATGGACTTTAACTCCATATATTAAAATATAATGCAACAACTCAGTGTTGCTAGAGGTACTAAGGTCGATGACTCTAAACGTATGAAGCTTGGGCTGTGATAAAAGGCTATGAATATACGTGTTCAGTTGTCGCGAAAAAAAACTTCTGCAAATAAGAGCGGCTGAAAAAAGTGGAAGAAATTGCTCTATCTCTACTCTCCCTCCGCCTCTCCGAATAAACTACTCCTTTCCTAATAAAGTAGCCATAGCCTACGATCGGTCTATATTTTTGTATTCATTGCCTTTTTTTCAATCAGTTGACAACGAAATCAAGAGACATACCCCACACATGCCAAGATTGACAGGCATTTGACACGGCACCTGATCTTTAAATCAGCTCGTTTAGGAAACTCATACTATTTTGTTTACCGTTTCGATTCAATGTTTGTCTGAATCTTAGTCCGTTTTCTTTCCAACAATTTCTATATATAAAACACACCCCACGACTCAAAAACTTTCTATCAAGTAAATTGAATTTCAAAAATATGAAAATTTTGATACAAGAGTTCCTTACTTTCCTCAGCATTGTTGGCATTTATGGAAACGGCCGTTTGATCTGTCAGAGCTGGTTCTTTTCGATCACCCATATCTAACTTTCTAGTAACTAGTCAATTCATACCAGAGTAATAGAAGACTCAATCAATCTTTCGATTTTACAAGTTAAAACTATTTTTTCCTGATCACCACGAAAAAATGTGAGTCAAGACAATTTTTTGGAGTTTGTGTTACCCGGGGTTGCGTGACGGTTTTAGCGTGCATTTTATGCAAAAACATCGAAAATGAACTGCGCGTTTACCTCTCTGGGCGCGTTGCTTTTTAATTGCCCATGCTGGATTATTTATATGTTGTACTGCAGCAGTAGGACGTTTCTGAGGTGTAATAATTCTTCTAAAATTCTATGTACCAAGCCGAGATTTTTTCCTTCAAAGTTTTGCAAAATTTCATTGTTTATGAAAGTGCTGAAGATAGGAATCTTCGGGCGTTTTCTAACCTAGTATAAAATTCATTATCTTGCAATATTTTTACCAAATAGTATTGTAACTGGGATGCCTTACTTACCTGCCAAAGATGAACCTGTTTCCTTGAACCGTCTTTCTTCCCGATGGCTTTGAAAATGGTATAATTCAAAGGTTTTTGACCTTCGACTATATGTCGTGGGGCAGCATTTCACTTTTTGCCGGTTTTCTCGAAAAAGAAAATTCTTTGGAAACTTTGATTGTGATTTTCGAGAAAGTTTCCCCAACGGTTTTTTTCTCACTGAATATGAAGGATTTCGAAATTTCCGTTTTGACGGCAAATTCTCGATATTTACAGACAGCCGCTCTTAACATTTTACTGTAAGGCTTTTTGAGGGGCTTAAACTTGGAAGGCTTCCTTAATGGGGACATTTGCGTTTCAATATCAGCTCGAATTAAAATAGGAACGGGAAACAATTATTACGAACAACTCGGAGTAGTCAAAAGCTAAACATCCCCTCTTTTCAGAACTACCTCCGGACAGAGAACTTTTTATTACAGGACTGTTAAGTTTTGGAAAATTTGGAATCTTTTGTTAAGTTAAGCCCATCTGTTAAAATTTTTAAACGTTCCTTAAGGAACCAGCTTTTAGATAATTTTGTAAATACTTCTTAGTTAACTTTAAAACATTGTAATTATTAATTAGCTAACATTGTAAAAAGTATTAGATTAACTGTTGTAATTGTAGTTATTAAAAATAATGTAGTATAATCATTGTTCCTGAAAAGCCCCTTTGGGTAGGTAACAATAAAGTATGTGTGTATTGGTCTGTTCGTGATTTTTCAAAATGAGAATGATATATATATTTATTGGAGCATTGACTTAAAATCAATGAGCAAAGAAATTTTTAAATGCCATAAATGGGAACACGACTACAACAACCATCCGTAGGGTCCGCAACAAAAAAAACGGTCAAACCGGCAATCTATGAATGGCGAGCCATTACTTTGTATAGAGTGTTTTCACATGACGTCACGGCGGCCATATTGGTTTCCCAAAACAATGAAACGGCGGCCATGTTGGTGTCCCAAACCAATCCTCGGGAGTTGAACTTTTTTCTTATGCAAACGCTTTCTTTTATTCCAAAAATTTGCATAGATTCTGGTCACGTAAGTGAAAACACTCTATTGAATAAACTTAGTATAATTAAAGTTGACATCCTATTTAGTACTAGACTGTAAATACAGTGGCTCAAAGTTTATAGAAATCCAAGTTGTGACCACTCGGTCACAATCAGGTTTGTCTGGTAATGGTTTATTTTCTATTTAGGAACAATTCTCGAATGTAAGCTCCCAGGTGTTTTTATACGAAGGGGTAAGTAGTATAGTAGTGATGTTTTATTTCTTTCTTTGAGGGGGATTAATACATTTTAGCACCGATGATGTCATAGCCTTTCAGTGTGTCATAAACAAAAATGCGGTAGAATCTCACATCATGCAGGTAATATCCTATTCTAGGTGGTTTAGCCGGTTTGAAATGTTGTTTAGTTATTTTTAGGGCGATGAATGTTTTGGTTTTTGATTGGTTGACTAAAAGCTAAGGAAAGTCTCCAAAGGTTGGCTAATGTTGCCGTAGCGTGGAGAGTTGATCTTTTTCCGGCGCTTTCATTTTCCATTAACGACAATAAATTGTTCCGCTTCCCCATCAATGATTCTTGGGCTGTAAGTCGTACATATTAACGTTGACGAAGGCAAACTACAGCTCTTTTTAGAAAGAAACAATATTTTGCCCACCCCTTCCCCTTCCTACTTATCCTTAATTTAATTTTTTCGTTCCTCCTCATTTTTTCCCATCACCACCACTGACACATTTCTATTTTTTTTTTTTTGCTCCCCTTGAGACGGATATATTTGCAATAAATTCCCTCCTTGGTCAATAAAACATTGTATCTCCAAAGAGGGCTTACTTCTAACTTTGCTCAAGCCCTCGCAAAACGACTTACGTTGAGCAAGATACTGTCCCAATCCACCCAAAATTGCTTCACATGGTAATCAGTTACCTTTACAGTTCCATCCGTCTCCCAGGTACCCAGGTTCACACGTGCAGTTGTATGAGCTCTCGGTGTTATTACAAAACGCGTTAAAATCGCAATTGTGGGTTTCTGCTTTACACTCATCGATGTCTGAAATCATATAGATCAACAGCAAAAATAAATTCTGTTATGTGGATTCCTCTCAGCTTTCTATACAGAGTGTAATCTTGCACTGAGGAGGAAGATGCAAGAGAAATACTTGAGAAAAAAGAGACGCAAAAAAAAAAAAAAACAAAGAGAGAAAGTTTCTGATGCCGGCCAGTGCACTAATTAGGAAGCTACACACGCACTGTATACGACGTGAAAAAGGCGTTAAACACTTTCTTACCTAATTTTGAGATAATACAGTCAAACCTCTACTAAAAGTCCGCACTCCACAACGGCCACTTTCTTCTGTCTCCAAGGTGGCCATTGTGGAGAGGCTCGATTGTATCTAACAAACGGTTTCTATAGAAAACATATTGTCATGGAAACGATAGAAACAATAAAAACAGCAATGCTTTCGATGGCATGTAAAAACTGACCAAATTACAAAAGTAGCTTACCTTTGCAATTATTTCCGTCTCCTTCATATCCTGGTTTACATGTGCAGTTGTAGTATCCTTTGGTGTTGTGACAAACCGCATTAGAACTGCAGTTGTGGGTTTCTCCTTCACACTCGTCGATGTCTGAAATCATATTGAACATCGATGACAATAAACTAAGGGCCGTTTCCATTTGTCAGAACTGACCGGCCAGACCATTCCCGTCTTAATGAGAATTTCACTTTTAATCAAAACTATCCGGCCAGATCAGTCAGATCCTAAAGAATATGCACGAAGGAGATAGTTTTTCAGCAAAAACCCTTTGGAAAAAGCCGATTTCATTTGCTAACTGACTGTTCCGGCCGGCCAGTTCTGACAAAATTAAAGCGCCCTAAGTTGGCACGTTGGATTCCTATCAGCTGTCTAGAAAACGGTAAACCCACTGACGGTTATTTTATAGCTACAGACGAAGTAAGTTGTTAAGGAAGCCAAAAGAGAATAAAGCACAGAAACAAACAAACACTGAAGCAAACACAAAGCGTTTGATGACATGCGAGCAGACCAGACACTAAATGAATGAATATTACCTGTGCAGTTTTTTCCATCTCTTTTATATCCAGGTTTACATGTGCAATTGAAGGATCCGTGGGTGTTGTTACAAATGGCATCGGAGCCGCACACGTAAGTGTCTGCTTCACACTCGTCGATGTCTGTCATATTACATCATTGAACACCAAAAATAGTTAGCTGAGTACTCTGAATGTGATTCTTCGTACCCGTCACTGGGCGTTTGTTCAGTTGGATGATCCAGGACTTTATGAGCTAAGAGGGTGTGGGTGATACCCGTAACTTGTCCTATGGGGTCCCCAAAACGTCGCCATTGTGGAAGGATGAAAGAAATACATACAAAAAGAAAACTTTCTCATACCGGTCTTTGATGTCAGGAGACAAAAAACTAAAATACAATGCGCTAAAAGCGTTATGAACTTTAAGCTTTTTGAATTTTGAGGTAATATTGTCTACTCTGGCAAAAAATTGCTTTAAAGAACACCATAGAAAAATAAAAACCGCAATGCTTTCGATGATCTGCAAAAAAGACGAATTCACGAAAGAAATTACCTGTGCAATTATTTCCGTCCCCTTCATATCCTGGTTTACATGCGCAGTTGTAGGATCCCTTGGTGTTGTGACAAACCGCATTAGAACTGCATTTGGTGGTTTCTGCTTCACACTCGTCGATGTCTGAAATCATATTGAACATCAACGACAATAAACTAAGTTGCCACAGACGTTCTTTCATAGATACAGACGAAGTAAGTTGTTAAGGAAATAAAAGAGAATAAAGCAAACAAACAAACACTGAAACAAACACAAGGCGTTTGATGACATGCGAGCAGACCAGATACTAAAATGAAAATTACCTGTACAGTTTTTTCCATCTCTTTTATATCCAGGTTTACATGTGCAATTGAAGGATCCGTGGGTGTTGTTACAAATGGCATCAGAACTGCACACGTAAGTGTCTGCTTCACACTCGTCGATGTCTGTAATATTACATCATTGAACACCAAAAATAGTTAGCTTAGTAGCGGAGCTCTGGCGCGCGAAGCGCGCCTGCGGAGCACCGTGGGTAAGTAAATCTACCCATCCCAGAAAATTTGGTAATCACGTGACCGTACACCGCCCGCCCGCCCGCCCGCTGCCCGTCCGTCCGCACCACATGGAAACCAATGTTCAATCCCACACTTTCTAGATACTTTGGGAGCACAGGAAGACTGATATAGCACACATATTGCCCATCAATGTTGTAATCAATTGGCAGCTGTCAAAACAAGGTCCCGCAGAGCAGTATCACCTGACTGTATCGCGGGCTCAGCTGTCGACCCATCGAGGTCGAATATTTTTTTGAAGTTTTCCGCTGACAAGTTACTAGTTGTCAAATTATTGCAGGCTCAAGTTTAATTTTTTCAATTCATATGAAATATGTTGTGTTTTATATGTGCCGCACAAACTGACCTCGGAAGCTAAGATTCAGCCAGTTTTTACAGGCAGGGAAGACATGCCAGTTGCTTTTGACTTTTCTCACCAAGGTCACGCGTTGGTCACGCTCTACGTCCAAGTTTTATGCCCTGAATGGTCAAAATTTAACAGGTGAGTTCATGCGGAAAAATTATGTAGCATCTTGAAACTTGTTTACTTTGACAGCTGAAGCTGACAGAGTTTCGTGTCAACTTGTGATGTTTTTAATTGTCTTTTTCCACTGAACATTGTACAAAATGAAATTCAGCTGCTATCAAGAGTTTTCTGTTATTCATGGCTAGTTTGTTTATCGAGTTTTTGGTTGAGAAATACGTCGCTTGTCAAAGTCGGAAATCCGATTTCGGATGGCATCGTTTTCGTTTTTCACCTTGCTTTATGCGTAAGAGGGTTGAAAAGTCTGAAGCGATTTTGGCCTTACTTGATAGTTTTCAGTGCATCTCGAATGGTAAGCTTGAGTAATTACTTTATTTGATGTTTGTTTTTTATATCTAATTCAATGACGTCGAGTGTAGTTTATGGGGCTATTTAGTTTATGCACGTTTGTAAGATTTGAGACAATGATCTGATCGAGTGTCAGGTTTGATTATAAGCTTATAGAACTTTAACAAGCCTTCAGAAATTTTCTCACGGCAAATAGAAAGAAAACGTTCCAAAGAATATTTAGTTATAATTTTGGCTGTAAAAGAGAGCTTTGAGCGATTTTCTTGCCTCGAGTTCATCTTTGTAAAACGCAAACACCGGGAAGCCGGCTTCCTGTGCTTTTCACAAACATGCGAATTCTGAAGTTCAAAAGCCAACTGACGATTGCGTTTTTCGCTGCCGTCAATCATCTTAGCGGACCTCTTAGGAAACAAAACTTTACTTTAACGGGTTCAAAAGGTCAAGGTTTGTGATTTGTGATTGGTGGATTTCGATCCGTTTTGTTTTTTTCTGTGTTTCCAGGTTCGTTGCTTGTGAACTTAATTATGATTGACGGCAGCGAAAAACGCAATTGTACATGTGAAGGCGGCTTTTGAACTTTAGAGTTCGAATGTTTGTGAAAAGCGCAGTAAAACATAAACAAGGATTTTCAGAGACACTTTAATACTTGTCTTCGTGAATGAAAATTGTTGTCTCGATTTGTATATGTTTCACCGAATTATTTTCCTTTTATTGATTGTTAGTAGTCTCTTTGGAATTTTCATCGCTGTTGTGCCGTTTGTTTTCAGTCGTTCATGAACACAGCTTGCAGGAGTAGTCAAAATGTCGAGCATATCAAACGCTTTTGAAGATTACACATCGTTATAAAGCCATTATGTTGAAGCGTATAACTGTGTTAATCTTAATTTAAACAGTCGACTTTAGCGCTTGTCAAAAGTGAGAACCTTTCCTTCCCAGTAAAGGACACGTTAGAGATTTTTGGAATGGAAATAGATAATAATCTGAATTTTTCTAAACATATATCAAATGTATGCAAAAAGATTAATAATCAATTTAATGTTATGTTGCGCTTTAGAAAACTCATACGCAAGGAAATCTTATTCAAACTTTACAAAGCGTATATTTTACCTCACTTTTATTATTGCTCCTCTGTCTGGCACTTTTGTGGAGCGCGCGATGCGGATAAGCTCGAAGCTTTAAATAAAAGAATACTTAGATTTATACTTGGAGATTACTCGTCTCCATACAACACTCTTCTCTCAAAAGTCAGCTCTACTTCTTTGTTTAACAAACGCATTCAAAATTTCCTCATTCTGTTATATAAGAGTTTGTTTTTCACTCATTTTCCTACTTATATGAAGAATATGTTTTCACTCCGGTTCTCTTCCTATGATCTTCGTGGCAACTACATTCTTTCACTAAGTAAACTTAAAACAACTACCTATGGTCTTAACTCCTTTTCTTACTTTTCAGCTAAGCAGTGGAATGCACTGCCGGACTTTTTTTCGTACCAGTTTTTTTTTTGCAGACTTTAAGACTAAAATACAGGATGTTACCTTCATGTAGATTCTTTTTGCCTGACATACTTAAACTTAAAATTGTGAATTGTAAATGATATTTTCTTTCCTTGCATTTAATGTATATATATATTTTCTATATAGTTTTTATTTAGTGTCAGCTCGAAGATATTAGCTTGTTAGCTACTCTAAAATTCGAGTTTAAATAAAGTTTTATGTTATGTATGTTAAGAGAACCGGCTCACCGTATAGGTGATTTTGGAAATTTTTTTAACCGTTTCGCTAAAGCGTGTCTCGATCGTCCTGAATATTGAATGAGTGCAAATTTGTATTGCAAAATTGTGAAATAGTGCATTCTGTCTGTATGATAAAAACAGCGCCTCATGGTACTAAAAAATATAAAAGGTTGGTTTACACGTCCCCAGACTTGTTGGCAAGATTTTGTAAAGTAAACTTATCGAACGCAAAAAATTCGGCCTGATTTGTTTTCCTAATGTACTGTGATCAAGAACCATTATGGCTATGCTATTATTTAGGTGTACATATAAGTGAGGCTATCAAGTCGATGTAAGATTAATTTCACTCTTAGCTTGGACTGTTTGCAAATTATTTTTCTCTAAAATTACTTAGCCTTTCCGTCAAAAGTCACATGAATGTGCTCTAAAGTTAACTGATTTGTGGAATACAAGTTTACAATTGTTTGATTTAAATTATACATTCGAGTTAGTAAGAGCTTCGCTTTTAGCCCTGGCTAAATCTATATATTACGCTGAATGTAATTCCTCGTACCCGTCAATGGACGTTCGTTCAGGTGGGCGGATCCAGGATTTTATGAGCTAAGAGGGAGTGGGTGATACCCGTAACTTGTCCTATGCCGTCTTCAAAACGTTGCAATTGAGGAAGGATGAATAGGAACATGTAACACCGCAAATTCTCACAACGTCACAAAATAGAGAATGATTACATTACAACCTTAACGTGTTCTCTCTTTGGCTGTACACAAAATCTCGCATAACATGGGAATAAAGTGCCAATTGAACTGTCCTAACAAAGACGGCTAAAAAAAGGGAGGTGGCTAGCCTCCAAATCCACCTCCCCTGGATCCACCTCTGTCGTTGCATTGCTATAAGAAGCAAGTTGTAACAGAGGGAGAGAATGAAAGAGAAGTAATAAAGTTTCTGCTGCCATACGAGAACAGACAAACCACTGAAAATGCTACCTGTGCAGTTTTCTCCATCTCCTGTAAATCCAGGTTTACATGTGTAATTGAAGGATCCGTGGGTGTTATTACAAAATGCATCAGAACTGCAATTGTGGGCATCTGCCACACACTCATCCATATCTGAAATAAGTTTTAAATTACATGTAAATTACTGAATGCCTAATCGATGAAAAATTAAAATCTATTTATCCTGGAAGGTAATTAAAGTATTCTTTTTGGCAAACGCAATTTTTATTGTTCCTGCACCGTCGCATTTTTTTGTTACAGAACTGCAATCGACATGATCGATCAGTTTGGATAACCCTCCATTTTAATTTTTCAGTGACCGTCTGACTTTGTCTCCTAAGATACCATAATCATGACCTGAAATTCCATTTTTTTTTCTCCTTATGGCAAATAATTGTTAGTATAACGTAAAGATCTTACTGCGCCATTTCCAAAGTAGGTTTGCTTTAGGCTTTAAGCTACATGATTCCGGAATTTTTATATCGAAAAGAACTTTAGAAAATCTCCGGAATTTTGGGAAAAAATTGGCAAATTGGAGAATTTTAGAGCAATTTGAAGACAAAACGTTTTTTTGTTGTTGTTCTACGGACCAAGAGAGGGCTCAGTGCTCTCACAAGCTACAGCAGTTCCTAGAGCATTATAGGACATTTGTTTGAAAGGGAAGATAAATACATATATAAACAAAATAGTGTGAAATGATGTTTCTTGGAACCTTTAAACATTGGTAACAAACGATGTTTTACGATTACAACTCATTCTTTCTTGTTATATCGCCATAAAAAAAACGAATTTTTTTTGAGAATTTTCGGGAATTTTAGAGAGGTTTTGGAGAATTTTAGACATTTCTAAAAATAATTTTAGAGTTTTTTTTCGGGAAATTCTGGAAATAATTTTAGGCCATATTTCAGGAATTATGTAGCTAAGCCTAGTTTACTTCCAACTTTGCTTACGCTTTCATTAGTAAAACTTTGACAAGATGCTTCCCCCATTAACCAAAACCTCCTTTATGTATTTGTGTGTTCATCACCTGTACAGTTCCATCCATCTCCCAAGTACCCAGGTTTACATGTGCAGTTGTAGGATCCTTTGGTGTTATTACAAACCGCATTAGAACTGCAATTGTGAGTTATTCCTTCACACTCATTGATGTCTGAAATCATATTGAACCATGGAGATATGCTTAGTTTACAAAGTGAACTCCTCTCATATTTCTAAACAGTGAGTCTAGCACTGAGAAGAAAGAAGAAATACATGAGAAAAAAACAAAAAAGCAAAGTTTCTGATGCCACCCATATTAGGAGAGAAAACATCAAAAATACAAGGCATGCCAAGCATTATAAACTCCCCGTTTAACATTTTGAGGTAATAAGGTCTACTGTCTAGCAAAAATTGATAGAAAGAGCATCTTATTTCGGAAAAATAAAAACAGCAATGCTTTCGATGGCACGCAAAATGACTAAATTACGAAAAATATCACCTGTGCAGTTGTTTCCGTCCCCTTCATATCCTGGTTTACATGTGCAGTTGTAGGATCCGTGGGTGTTATTACAAAATGCATCAGAACTGCAATTGTGGTTTGTATCTAATAGACACTCATCGATATCTGACATAAGTTTTAAATTACATGTAAATAAACGAATGCTCGATGGATGAAATATTTATTTAAAATCTACTTATTCTAGAGGTTAAATATTCTTTCTTAGAAAAGCAAAGGTTAGACCCTTTTATTGTCCTTGCGTAGTCTTATTTGTTTGTTATAGACTCGCAATGGATTTTTGGATACCTCTCCATTTTATTCACTAATCGTATGAATTTTTCTCCCAAGATACCATAATCGTGACCTCAAATTTCATTCTTTTTTCACTTATGACCAATAATTGTTAGTATAACGTTAAGATCGTATTGCGTCATTTCCAAAGTGGTCATTACCTCCAAATTTGCTTTAAGCTTTCATGAATAAAACTCAAATTTGTCAAGATACTTCCCCCATTAACCAAAACCTCCTTTATGCATTTTTGTATTAATCACCTGTACAGTTCCATCCGTCTCCCAAGTACCCAAGTTTACATGTGCAGTTGTAGGATCCGTTGATGTTGTGACAAACCGCATTAGAACTGCAATTGTGAGTTCTTACTCCACACTCATTGATGTCTGAAATCATATAGAACAATGGAGGTAAGCTTAGTTTGCAGAGTGAATTCTTCTCAGTTTTCTAAAAAGTGAGGCTAGCACTAAGTAGAAAGTTGTAAAAGAGATGCATGAGAAAAAACAAAAAAGCAAAGTTTCTGATGCCGGCCATGTTAGGAGACAAAACATTAAAAATACAAGGTACTAAGCATTAACCTTTCCGCTTGAAATTTTGAGGTAATATGGTCTACTAGCTAGCAAAGAATTACTATAAAGAGCATCTTATCATGGAAAAATAAAAACAGCAATGCTTTCGATAGTATGCAAAATGACGAAGTTACGAAAGAAATTACCTGTGCAATTATCTCCGTCTCCTTCATATCCTGGTTTACATGTGCAGTTGTAGGATCCTTTGGTGTTATTACAAACCGCATTAGAACTGCAATTGTGAGTTCTTCCTTCACACTCATTGATGTCTGAAATCATATTGACCAATAATTGCAAAAAAATAAGTTCGCATTGTGTGTTTTAGACTTTCCGTTTTTATCTACAGTGCATGAAATCAAGAGAGGAGGTAACTAGAAGGTAGTAACAATATTAGTAGCAAGCCGAAAAAGATAGGGTCGAATCCTGCAAGGTGAAGCCATTTTTCTCTGTCTGTTAAGACATTGACTTATTGTTTTTGTCTCATTTTGTTTTGTTTTGTTTTTTCACTTTCACGAATAAACTTATTAAATTATTATGGTGTTGTCCACAGTTTCGATGTTTGACATTCATGTTCTTTGTATGTCAACTTATGGTCCCCGTTGTTTCCTCGAAAATCACGGAAAGTTTCCCCTAAGGGTTTGATTCCAATTTTTCGACGAGCATTTTTATATAGAACTCTCCCCCTTCCCCCTCCCTCGAGAGCTCAATCAAGTGAGCTTCCTAGCAACGAGCCTAGAGGTATAATCAAGGCTCAGGCCATATCACGTTTTCTTAGTTTAGAGTTGAGATGCTCTTGAAGAAAGGCTTTCTCAATTACGAACTGCTTCTACTCAACAACAAGCTCTAATATTACTCATCTCAAATAACCAAGAAACACCCATAAGATTACGGAAACAAAAAACAAAAATTTGAGGAAATAGCATTTGAAAGTGTATGACTGTTAAAAGAACAATTGAAACGAGAGGCTAGCAAAAGCTTAAAATGTCCTCTACGCAAACGTTTTATACACTGCCGTAGGAAATGACAAAGGACAGCCCGAGCTTGATTACGATTTACGAAGCTTTAATTATTTGGATAAAAGGAAAGTTTTTTTCAAGAACAACTTACCATGTTCACATTGTGCACCAGTGAAACCAGAAGGACATAAACACCGATATTTTTTCTCTGTGAATCCAGACTGACAGATACCATTGTTTTGGCAACGGGGAGTATCACAAGCACTCTTTGATAGAACAAAAATTAGGCTTGAATTGTAAGAGAAGAAGTTACGTTAAACCGTCTTGATAGAGCGTCAACTACAAACTACAAGATGATGATGATGATGATAAGACAATGGTAATTATTACGATCCTGATGATAATAATTATTAATAGGGAGCTTAAGCAACGACGACGTCAAAGGCAAGGAAAACGCAAATAGGTTAAATAGATTAAGATTAGCCCGAAAAAATAAAAAATTGGCCCCTAGATGACATTTTTTGTACATTTCCCTGCCCTTCGTTGCACGACTACCACGTGGCCGGGAACTTCTTAGTTTCACCTTTTCTACCGGGACGTGAACACAAGACAACGATTCTTTATTTTATTGTTATTATTTATTTTTTAACTTAGATACTGAACAGTCCTTTACAATGCGACTCCAGAAAAACTCACCAAAATTTGGTGACCAATTGAACGACGTGCAATAAGAACGATAGATTTTGATACAGCGTGAATTCAGTCTTTAAGAGACGTTCTCGTCACGTGGTCTTCGTCGTTGCTTAAGTTCGCTCTAATGACGAAGATGGTGACCATTGTGATGATGATGAAGATGTCGACAGTAGGATGATGATTGCCTTGAAGATGATGATGATGATGATGAAAGAAAAAGAAGACGAGAAAAGAAAAGACAAAAAACTTACAACTGCTCCATGATATAAGCAGCCTTCCCTCTCTTTAAAGTCCTCATCGTGCGCTCGGTGTGTTGAATTGTTCAGTTCACATCGTCTTTCTCTTTGTATCTCGTAATTAACACTGGCGCAGTTTGGTCGGTTGTAACAAAGCAGTTCACAAAGATCCATATCCGGGACATGTTGGACAATTAAGAACGTGTGGCTCTCCAAACATTTGTCAGCAATTAGGAAATAACTGGGAAACGCCAATACGCGGCAATTACCTTAATTGAAAAAAGAAAAAAATTGCATTTAGCAATTCTAGGAGTCCATAAGGTGGTGGCCAATTCTCACTTTTTCTGGCGGCAAAAAGAGCTTCGATTTAAAGCAAATGTCCTTTAAAGATTGAAGTTCATTGAACGTAATAATGTTTTCGGTTATACTGCTTTACTCTTCCAGCTTTGTTTTATCTGACATTTAATCATGAAACTACCATGTATGTTAATTGAACTTGCTGGAGTTTTCTTGGAATCGCTTCAAACTGGCTTAAAACAGCAAAGTATATCAAATAATGACAAAAAGGAGATGGACTTAAGTTAGTTCTCCAGGCCCATTTTCTGTCAATTGGTCTAGCTATATAAAGAAAACTACCTTTTTTAGGAAAATATATGCGATAATTCATTTTAGTAAAAGCCAATTAAAAGGCTGAATAGACGAAAACAGGTAGATGGTATTCCCACCTGTCTTGAATAGAGGTAAATTGTCTTGTATATTGTGAAAATATTTTTCTCTTATGACGCAAATAACAGAATTTTTTGTTTTCTAGCAACTTTTTCCTTGTTCACGAGTTTATAATCCAATTATTAAACCGTAGTGACAATATCAAAACTTCATTTTATATTTCTTGAAAATTTTCTTGCACTTATCTCCTGTTATTTAACTTTTAAATAGGTTTCCATGTTGTTTCTATGTTTTTATCGTGTCAAATTAATAAATGAACAAAATAACAAAACTCAGGCACTGGATAGACGACACAGCTAAAATAAATCGCATAAAATTGGGAAAACCTTTTCAGGCTCGTCTCTGCCTTAAGGACAACAACAAATCCATGGGAAGTCTCAATTTTTATGAAAAAAGCCAACATTGTGGTCGTCTGGTGTTTGCTGTGGAAATATTTTCCCGTTGACATGCAAACAGAATTCTCAGTGGTTTCTTAGCAATTTTAATTCTCTTTGTTAATTATGTGCAGCAGGTTGTGTTTACCCTTATTTCCTCTCATTCAGAATTTATTAGGTTGCCATGTTATTCAGTCAGTCCGTTAGCAGCTTCATGGATTGATAGTAATGAATGATTAAACAAATTCGTACATTAAATAGAGTAAGACATAAATAGATGGCATGATATCGAAAGAATGTCTGAATTCAAAAGACAATTTCTAGAATGGTAATTAACACTGACTCACGCCCAAAGAGGACAAAAATAAACAACCTTTAGCTTGGTATTTCGCTTGTTTTTCGTCCATGAGAACGTTTATATTTATTCTGAAAAAAGGCATTCAGTGAACGTCTTATCCATATTAAATTGACCAAAAAGGAAACAAGGACAGTTGAGTGGGCACCCATCAACGTGGTATAACCCATATTACACTAAGCCTCTCTAAAATAAATGTTACAAAGGATAATTTCACCAGTCTATTAATCTGCCAGATTTTACACATAACTGGGACGCTCAATTATGTTCTTGTAACAACGTTCAGTAAGATAAAATTGATGTAGATTTCCAAATTGATTGCGACTGGCTTCCCTTATTGCCATCCGGCCGAGATTATCGTTTTATGTTGTTGTTCGTATAAACGAGTTAAAATTGTAAAGAAGGTAACGTCTGGGGATCCTTAAAGGTGGTCATATTCAACGAGGTTTTCGAATAAGGAAATGGCAGGGAATTGTCGAGCCAGAAAAAGATTTGACAACGTAAAAGAGGGGTACAGGGTCGTATTAACGTATAGTGTTAATATGGTAGGGGTCCAAAGTGAAAATAAAGATAGTAAGAACAGATACTAAGGAATCTTGGGCTTCCGAAGTGAAGTGACAAGAAACGAAAAGAAATGAAAGGGATTAAAAGCTCCTCGCACACTGACATTGATAGCAGCCTTTTTTATTTAATTATTTTTTTTCGCAAATAATAGCCACAGTCTGTTTTCTTTTCTGTAACTAGATTCTTGTAGAGCAATCATTTTCCGGCGAGCAGACGTAACAAGCTAAATAAACAAAGAAAGCCTACAAAGATGGGGTTAATCGCCAGAAGTTGTAAAAGAGGTTAACAGTGTAAAAAGCCGGTCCCCAACCAAATTTATCATTTAGGGAGTTTCGAAAACGCTTGTTTAGAACTTTTTGCGTCTTCTCCCCTCGTTGCTAAATAGACATGGTTCTTTATATCTGGGAAAGGTACGGTCCTTGGAGTCTTACGAGCCTTAAACAATTTTGCAACCACAAAAATTAATTTCGCGGAACTTTTTGCATATGAAGTGACTTTTTTGCATATGTCTATTGACTGTTAAGAAGAGAAAACAACCTTAAGCCGTAAAAGCAGTATATTAGAGCAGAAAATTTTGCAGCTACTCTTGTTCCCAATTTTTAAAGTCAGTCTAGCTGATTATAATTTTTTTTTTATCTTCTTCCAAGAGATAAATGTGTTTCTCACTATTTTCACGCTCAATTTTTGAAAATAGCGAGCCGAATATGATTGAAACCACAAGGCGGAAAGAGAAGAACTTACCATCCAAACAGCCGAAGCAAATTCTTAAAGAATGCATGTACACCATAAAGAAAATACTGTAGTGAAGAACAACACCCATGATCGCTGCCTTGTTCGCGGATCGCAAGTCTCCTGAAAAGTCGAGTGCATTAAGTGCGGTTGAGCTAAAACGGGGATGTGACTTATACTATAGCGGTACCACCCGTCGTATTTTAACGTACACGTCAAAACTTAAATAAATTCTTTGTGTTAATGAGATAGTTTAATAATCGTTAGAAACATTTTACTGATATTTCACAGTTAACACATACGTATGCACAAACAGAGACAATTCCAGATCTATTTTTAAAGATGTAGCTTTTCTAGCGTTAACTGTGCTCTCGTTAATACCGTCTTTAGATTCTCACACCGTTCGTGGTAAACAGAATTCGGCATAAATTAAAGTTGACAGGTTTTAATGATATTATATAACTCTGTTTCAAAATATTAGGCCCTAACCGCATGGGCCATTGTTGCTCGGCTATCTCAGACTCGCTATGAAACGTTTTAATATGAAAAATAGGGTAGATTTTAAAAAAAATAGCATCTATTATGCAAAGATAAGTTCGCAAATTTTAATTATTTTCTTCCATGCGAATGTTTTTTGCAACAGAGAAGTGAAACCTTTCACAACTGAACATAGTAAACCGCAATTAAGTCTTAAATTGAGGTTGAAAAAAAAGCATTGTTGTAGAAAATGCCGAATAAATAATGGAAAGATAAGCAGGTGATGACTGGACGATTCCACACCCTACTCTAATGGACTAGAACATGATTAGCTGCGTGGGTGCCTACTCAATGGCACCAACCATGTATGGCCACAGGCAGACCAAGCTTTTAACTCGGTACGTTTTACAGGGTCATGTGGTTATACATTCGAGCGCCGCTTTGAGGACATCCGCTTAATCTGAATTCTTCGTTATGACGGACAGCTTTCTTTGTTCCTGGACAAAGCCCTTACATTTTAACCCGCTTAATAAGGACACTTAAAGGTCAAATGAACCAAAAAATTGACATATTTTGTTTTATCGCTTTACCTTCACCAAACACTTAAAAGAACCATCCTAAGTGAGATTTGGGTAAATATTTTACTTCCCAAGCCTTTATAGAAAGATAAAAGATCAAAATCCGAGCATTTCCGAAGACTTCACGAAAACGTTTCTGAAATGGCCGCGTGATAGACTGGAGACTACGTGATGTCCGTGACGTCAATGTTGGTCTTTCAGGGCGGAAAAACGTTCTGCGCAAGCTTCTGCGCATCCCTTATCGCCTGCGTTTGTTTGTCTCGTTCTGTGAGAGTTCTGACTGAGACTGAATGAAATACACGAGGTGCGAACGTTTGCTCGTTGTAAAGGCTTTTTTTTTGTTTTTGTTGTTTTTTCGTCACTTGAAAATTACTTTGGATTCAGAACAACCAATGTTAGAGTAAAAACAGATCATTCTGTCAGTCTGAGGTGGAATAAAACGTTTTGAACATTTCCAAAAAGGTTTGTATTTTTCTGATAATTGTGCATTCGATTTGTGAGTTGATTTTGTGTCCAGTGCTTCGCCTTCTTTCGCCGGGTTGAATTAAAACCTGCTTGTATTCTGTTATTAGTAGTTATGGTTACTTTTTTTACACGCCCAGATTTATTTACCTTTACAGGACCAGCTTTATCCTTGTTTTCAGTCAAAGAACGGTAACGGCTAACGCATGCAAGTGAACAAGCTTTTAAAAACTTTCTCGGAACTTTAGAAGGCCAGCAAGCTTACTCGAGAAGAAAAGACTACTTCGATCATTTTTCTGTTGCTCAAGTAATAATAGGCAGAGTTTTTTTTCTGTAGTTTTTTCAGTTTTAATTACATAGTTTTGTTATCTTTCTGTACGCAAATTTTCCTTTCACTCGCTGTGAAGCAGCGGAGAACAACTGCCGGCAGTGACTCCAAAACAATCGACTCATTGCCCGTAAACAATTGCTGGAGCTGGATTTGACTGAAGCGAGCAAAACAAATCCTTATGTGCAGTTTTCTGTACTTTCTAATGATTCAGTTTGCTGAGTTTAAAATTTGCTTGAACATGAAGACCCTCGCATGGACCAGTTATTAAAAGTAGCTAATCTAACTACGGTAAGTAGTCGGAATCATAGCTTGGCTGCGAAGCAGGCAACTGATCTTTTGCTTTTAAGATCTTTAGGTAGGTTGTTTCCGCACAGAAAATTCACTTCTTCTTTGTCAGCAGGTATAAGAGCGTTAAGCCTTGTGTTTTTTAATGAAAATTTGTTGTTTTGCAACGTTATTGAAGCTTTTTTTAGTTCACTTAAGCTGAGTTTTATGCATGATGGAATTGCTCTTTGCTTGTCGCATCTCTTTGCCAGCTTAAAGTGGCGTCTATGGTCCTTAAGGTGACCTCAATCGGTAATTAAATCTTACACATAATTGGAAAGAAGTTTTTGCAATAATGTAACGAAAACTTTGTTTGAACGAAATCTTTACTTTCTTGACAGGTGTTATGC